CTGTCGCCAGGGGGATCCGATATCACCATATATTTTTATATTGTGTGTTGAAATATTGGCTATATTGATAAGAAATGAAAAAAAAGATTAAAGTTATTAGAATGGGCAATATAGAACATATTTTAGAACAATTTGCAGATGATACTATTATGTCTTTGGATGGGTCGGAGAAAAGTCTGTATGCTGTTATGAATATTCTACACTTTTTTTAAAGATTTTCTGGACTTGAGGTTAATGTCGAGAAGACTAAATTAATTTGGATTGGGTCAAAGAAGAGATATAAATATAAGCTTTGTAAAGAGTGGAATTTGGATTGGAGTCAGACACAATTTAAATTACTGGGGATAAATTTTAGTATAGATTTAGAAGAAATGGTAAATTTAAACTATAAAGAGAAATTTGAAAATATTGAAAAAGTAATGAAACAATGGTCAGTTAGACATTTAACGCCTATGGGTAGAAATACTATTTTGAAATCTTTACTACTACCTAAGATGAATCTCTTGTTTGCCTCTTTACCTAACCCTACAGATGAACAGCTAAACAGAAATGTTTTAACTTCATAAGGCGGGATAGATAGATAGGGCCAAGAGAAGTGTTATGACACAACCACCTAACTATGAAGGACAACTTTAGTGCCATATATTACAAATACTTTTTTGGAAGGGATGTTGTATCAGCATGGGGTTTGTATTTATCCAAATGCTATGATAAGATTGCAAATATTTCTGACATAAAAACTCAATCATTATGGTACAACTCTAATATCTCTATTGGTGGCAAATGGGTAGAATATAGACACTGGATAGGAGAGGGTATGTGTTTCATTAAGGACATGTTTAATGAAAATGTTGAAATTTACTCTTTTAACAAACTTGTAGAAACATATTATTTAGAAACAACTTTTATCTTATATCAAGGGATCAAGTCAACAGTAGTGAGATATATTAAGTTTGATCAGTGATCACCAAGAAAGGATACATGATCCTACTCTCCCGTTTAATGTATACAGCATAATCAATATACAGAAGGGTTGTAAAATGTTTTATCAGATTTTATTTGCTCCAGAATTCAGTACAGATGCACAAGAAAAATGTCAAAAGTGTTTGAATAGAATAATTGATAGATCAGAACAAGAAAATATTAATCTGATGTCTTATAGATGTACTGAGAGTGTGAATATGAGATGGTTCCAATTTAAAATAGTGAATATTATTTTAGCAACAAATAGCTTTTTGTACAAGATAGGAATATGTGAATTACACTTATGTACATTCTGTGGACAAGATCCAGAGACCATGGTACATCTTTTGTTTGAATGCTTTTATGTGAAAAAGATATGAAAGGAAGGTGAAAAATCGTTTGCAACTGTTTCGAAGGGTGAAGTTAATTTTCCACTAGAGAATATTTTATTTGGAATTAAAAGCAAACACAATAATTCATTGAATGCTGTAGTTTTGGTAGTTAAAGAAGCTATTTACAGAAAAAGCAGAAAAAAGCAAACTCTGGATATTTGATATATTAAAGCAGAAATCATAAATATTATGAAGCAACAAAAATAATAGCTTTTTCTAATTGTAATTATGCCAAATTCTTCAGCTTCTGGTCCTCCTCCCAGTCTTTATTTGCCAATAATTGAACTTTTATCAACAGACTTGTACAACATGTAATGCTTCATATACACGATTAGTTTGACCATTTTACATATCTGTGACTTATCTACTATGATACTACCTGTACTGTACGGATATACTATGAAGCTACCTATGCTGTACTTATGTACTATGAAGCTACCTATACTGTACTTATGTACTATGAAGCTACCTATACTGTACTTATGTACTATGAAGCTACCTATACTGTACTTATGTACTATGAAGCTATCTATACTGTACTTATGTACTATGAAGCTACCTATACTGTAAGTCCTAGGCCAAATAAAGTGTATCTTTTAGGATCTGGGGCGGTAAAGGGTTAGCCAGTAGTGGTTGACAAAGCCTTGGCTCGTCACGCCGAAGAGACCAGGTTCGATTCCCACATGGGCACAATGTGTTAAGCCCATTTCTGGTGTCCCCGCCGTGATATTGCTGGAATATTGAAAAGCGGCGTAAAACTGATCTCATATCAGTGTGGGTTATAACCGGGTGTATCATATTACCTTATAGTGATGATATCTCTACATTTGGCCTAGGAGTATGTACTTATGTACTATGAAGCTACCTATACTGTACTTATGTACTATGAAGCTACCTATACTGTACTTATGTACTATGAAGCTACCTATACTGTACTTATGTACTATGAAGCTACCTATACTGTACTTATGTACTATGAAGCTACCTATACTGTACTTATGTACTATGAAGCTACCTATACTGTACTTATGTACTATGAAGCTACCTATACTGTACTTATGTACTATGAAGCTACCTATACTGTACTTATGTACTATGAAGCTACCTATACTGTACTTATGTACTATGAAGCTACCTATACTGTACTTATGTACTATGAAGCTACCTATACTGTACTTATGTACTATGAAGCTACCTATACTGTACTTATGTACTATGAAGCTACCTATACTGTACTTATGTACTATGAAGCTACCTATACTGTACTACTGAGGTAAATTTTGTAAACATAATTCTGGGAATAAAAACATGAAAAAAACACAACTTTTGATGTCATATGTCTAGCGTTATTACACTTGTGTAATACTGCCGTAAAATATATTACACAGCAGTATCTTCTACGGGCAAGGCAAGAGACAAGACATTAAGTCATGTAGCTCTCTTTCACAGATCTGATTTCCACAGGAACATTTATCCGTCGATGCTGATTGTAAAATAGCCATGCTCGAAGACTACTGAATACTGAGCCCATTGATGTATAGTAATTCTATCCTTCGAAGAGGCAAGTGCAGATAAACGGTTATTTATTACTTTTTAGAAATCATCATTTAAACTATTAATTTTCCCACTAGGAAGAAACTTCAATAAATCTACTTTAAAATACCTGCGAAATTAATATGAAACATATGAGAGAAACATATTTTTCCTTCAGGTGGATGAGAGACATAAAAGGGATTGGTTATTTATCATGTCTTGACCAATATCAGATAATCGTGAAACCTGAAGTCACTCATTGAGACAATCACAATGCATAATCAAGAGAAACAAATTACCATGAGGGGAACAATTGGTGGCAACTATTACATATAGTGCCCTAAGCCATTATTTCCCTGACCTCTTGTTTTATATAAACACCAACTTCCTGCCACCTAAAACTCAACTACAGCACTTGGAAGCTGTTATCATCACAGTTGAATGCCCCAGTCTTAAATTATGAAGTTAATGCTCTTCCACCGCAATCACCACCAGCGCCTGACTGCACTTGCACAATCTGGAGGTCATAATTCAGTCAAAGAGTTTTTCAAGCCAAATTAATTTTCGTAATTGTGCAGCTACATGAATAAATGAAACTATGATAACCCATGCTTGAATTAAATTTGCTATTATTCTTTATCAGGTCAATCTGTCAACTTTATCATAATGCCCACCAGATTCCCACCGTATGTCATAATTTCAATGCACAAATGGCATTTTAACGAGGCTGTAACGGTGTAGATGCACCATGGTTGTTAAGGGCCTAAATGAAGCTAGTTTGTAATATCCCTTAGATATAGAGCATTCTACCATGACTACAGTAAATACTGGATTGTGATTGGTTGATTAAAGTCATTCAGAGGTATATAACCACGTTATATACCTCTGATTTTCCAACACAGTATGTATGTTTTTACAAATCGGTTATGGTAGAATGGAGATAAACATACTGTGTTGGAAAATCAGAGGTATATAATGAAATTATAATAGCTCTAAATTTGATTTAGACCCGTACGCGTATGTTTATCTCCTAATTGATCACAACATATTCCCTTGCTATGTACCTTAATAATATAATATCTGCATAACTACATGTTAACTTCAAGCATTAGTCAAACATGTCAGCTAAAAACGTAAACCTTGAGTAAAACTAACATATAGTAAGTGAGTGAGTGAGTTTAGGTGTACGCCGCACCCAGCAATATTCCAGCTATATGGCGACGGTCTGTAAATACTTGAGTCCAGACAATCCAATAATCAACATCATGAGTATCGATCAACTCCATTGGGATACGATGACATGTATCAACCAAGTCCGTGAGCCTGACCACCCGATCCCGTTAGTCGCCTCTTACGACAAGCATGGGTTACTGAAGATCATTTCTAACCAGATCTTCACGGGTCAACATATAGTGAGCCTTCAAAGAGCAAATGATAATTCTATGGTAAAGAAACGTGGGAAATTTAACATGAACAATTCTGGAAACAATCACTGTTTGTTAGCCATTTGTTGGTAAAGATTCCACCAAATCATTCGTCAGCATGACTTTAAATGCAGGTTAAGCACTCTCACAGGCATTCAGCTCTGAATCCACCTGAGGTACATGACACTCTCATACAAGTTGGACCTTTGGTTACCATTGCTACTGATGTCAGATATTTATCTGTAAGTTTGGTATACCTATCCGAAATGATGCTATATTCTCTAGGTTTCGACGCTTGCCTGATCAGACACCAGAATGAGTGACTGACGGATACATCGTAGAGGCTTCAAAGGCTGGAGTACATCCACTTTTATAAGGGGCGATAACTACAGCCTCGGATTCCACTGATGGCCACCAAGGGTGTGTAGGCAGTTGTCTTTTGAATTACCTGGTCGTCACGCTAATGCCTTCAAAATGTTCAGTTGGAGATATATTCACTGTTGTCTCTGACCGTCTAACTTAGCACAGGCCATTTGACGCAAAACGTAAACAACCCCGCAATATTGGAGAACCGTTTCTCGAGATAACATCTAGGAGTAATACTGAATGACCAGCTTATTTTGGGGCTGAGCAACAATGTTCCCGGACCAATAATCTCATGCACGAAATAAGTGAAAGCAAAGCAAAGTAACCATGGATTGTAACTGGTTGTTATTCACCATTAAACGCGTATGAAATGACATGACATGATATGCAAATAACTAGTGTAATAGAAACAGAATCACTAAATAGTAATAATTGACAAATAATGTATTGCTGATTATGATAGTAGGTTACAGAATATATGGAAGGTTATATGACAATGCAAAGTGAAATACCAGAATGTTTGCAAGTTTCGCTTTTAAATGAAGGTGCATAGGTGACTGGGTGTGCATTAGTGATGGAAATGATATTTGGAAATGTCCTTTTTTAACAAATTGATTGGGTCAAAAGGAGATGGTAATAAGGAATGTGTTCATGAAAGTTCTATAATGTGAGTTACGAAAAATCAAACAAATATCATTATTTTCGTTTGCACGTCAACATCTCACTATCCCTGTTCGGTCACGGGTGAGATTTTCACAATCAGCTACTGAAATCTAAAAAGAACTGGTGCGAGTTGAAGTCTAGACCTTAGTTCTAGCTGCTTGAAGAATAAGCGAGTTATAAGGGTGACGGAGATCATCCCCGACTCCCAAACCAGTGTCAGACTACAGCTATTTAATCAGTCACGTCCCTAGACTGTAACATTATGGAACATTCTGCCAGTATCAATAAGTTCAGTACTGTCAGCTGTTCCAAAAGCAAAACTGTAAAACAAATTTACATGTAATGTGCGCCTTCATATTTCTCTGTGGCGTAAGAAAGTAATATATATTTCTTACGAAATTACGCCTCAAATGTCTCTGTAGTTCTCCGTGTGAAAATGTGCATCACCACTTCATAGAATGTCCACGTTATCATACTACACAAAATGAAATGTTTAAAAGAAGAAATAAAATATATAAAATGACGCTGGTCGCCGATATGTCGCAATTATTCTGTCTTGAGTCCAGCCTCTACCCAAATTGATGCATTCCGTTTTACACAACTTTAACTTCTTCCTATTATGGATGGAAACAAATAGCATTTATGTTAATCGGCCCTCTCATCATTCATTTTTTCAGTAAAATGAACATTGAAGATGAAAGTTTTGTCGCGGGACATGTGGCCTTTTTCATGTGTTTCTAGCGTACAGTTTGTAGAATCTCGAGCCGGACATCTTTTCTTCATACACTCGATAGTAGTCGTCCAACATTTGATCTGTGAAATAGTTCTTCCAGTCGCCAACAGTACCTGTCAATAAACAAATATGAATATCTAAAACTGTTATGAGACCAGTGAAAGAATGCTTAAGACATTATGTCCTTAATATAACAATTATAATCAATATGTTAAGGATCGCATTATGCGTCGGACCTAGAACATCCTTTGAAGAGATGCAAACAGATTGGAGATTTGTAACGACCACCACTGTAATGTGTGTTTTTCACACCATCCCTTAACTGAAATACAAATCAATTTCCCATAATTTTATTATTGACCTGTCAGAGTTAGTTCCTCAATCAAATCAGGCCTATTTTGTCACGTGTACGTTCCTGTTAAATAGCACCTGTTTTCCGTTATTCTCTAAGTAACATACCTAAGTGACAACATAAAACAAGCAAAATACTGTCTGGTTCCTGGAGGGGTCAATTCCAAGGTATCCTTATTTAGCTCAATGTCATATAACATATCAAGTATTCGTCTTCGAAGGGCATTTTTCATGGTCATGTTTCACACAAAACAATGCCATTCAAGCGGCACTTGCCAGAACGTTAGCGTACCTTTACGATATAGTATGTTTTTCCCATCCACTTTAATGGCGTATTTTTCTTTGTCTCTTTTCATGTTGGAAAAGTGGCATTTATCAGCAATGGCTTGGCAAAGTTCATCGTTTCGTGGCAGACCAAGAAAATCAGACAGGCGTTGCACAGCCAACTGGGGATTCTATTGACATACAAAAATACGTTTACAACATACAATGTTTGGTGATTATGTTCAACTTGAATACAACCACAAATTGGTTATTGGAATAGGAAGACGGATAAGCTGAACAGGTATGGACAGTTCTTACATAACGTCCCTTGTGTCAGAAACAGTTACCTGCATGGCATAGTTTCCTAAAACTGACTGATTAATCAAGTACACGCCTGATACACACTTTAATGTTTCTACCTACCTTTATGGTTTCTTCATAAATGTTGAAATGCACAGGAATATCTGGATTCTTTTTGACAAATTCCTCAGCATCAAGCCAGTGATCAAACACACCATCGACTTCAGCTGAAACCGCAAAGTAATAAACCTGTTATGCAGAATATATGTATCCTACGGTACATGGTTCATAAAACAGCGATAAAGAATGGTAGCAAAACTGTGGTATAGCTTATAAACATGTTTTCAGTAACATGAAGTGGGTGTTTTGTGTCCAAATTAGATTTAACTGAGGGTAAAACAATTCATTTGACACTTCCGTCATGAGATGTTTCAGTTAATACCCATAAAAAATATTCTGCATACCTTTTCCTTCCAGAAACAGATACAAGAAACCTTCAAAAGAGCACTCGCATTCCAAAACCTGCATATCGACATAAGTGTGGTAGAGAGAAACTGCCACGTCTCTCGGATCTCGAAGATTGTAGATAACCTTGCACTTCTTTTCTTTCAGCTCCTCGGGACCATCTGACAACCGGAAGTGGGTATCGATAAACCTTGGTGAAGGGAGCTTACTCAAACCCTTCGCCACCACCTCTAAATGGTGCTTCCCCTTGGATGTTTGAATGGTTTCAGCCTTGCCACACAAGAGCATGTTCACCATTTCGAAAGTCCAGTGAGTTCCTGGAAAAGATCATCGTTTAACATATAGAACAGACACATTATACTATATATCCCGGTATTATGGTTATTATGTAAAGTAATAGTAGCTCAAATGTGATGTCATTATCCATCAATTTATGTACATGTAATTTTGGGCGGAGGACTGTTACTGAAATAAAATTCTGTTCTGTTCTGTAATAGTAGCGATTGTGGCCACGTGGGTCACAGGAGGGCGCTGCAACATGAAGACATTTTAGTCAGCGTGGAAAACGCTGATTTTGCATCAATATTTCGCAACATTCTGTCATGAAGGACTTGGTCACAATATCTTATTCATATTTTAAAGAATGTTTTACGAGTACTTTGATTTTCCAAGTGATTGTTTCCCTGACATATTTAATTAGATTTTTTTTTATTTTATGCAACAAAACCTTGTACCATAGTGAAATTCGTGAAATTCATGAACCACTACACAAGTACTACATGATCAAACACAGACGACGCCTATCACAAAAATACAAGAACGTGTATATCAATGAGGACTTAACCAAGGCTAGAAGTGTACTGTTCAAGAAGTCGAGAGATATGTTGGAAGAACAAGTGTTTCTCTGGCACATGGACAAGACATGGTAGAATTTTTGTGGAAGAACAGCCAGAGGGTACGATCCGTGAGATCAAAAGTGATTGTGACTTGGATAGGTATTGTAGATAAGTTTGTGATATTTGTATCATCATGCGGATTATTTTGGATTATCATGGAGTTCTTAAATGAGTAAGTGATCTTGACTTGACTTTTACGTAATTCCCACTATGTCAATAGTAGCAAAGATGTATCAGTATTTAGTTGACTAAGTTGTAACAACCACCAGTTTGTTTTGATGTATAAACTACTATCGTTCTGTACAACCACGTCTCCAGCTGCATAACGATTGTGAATTAGAGCATCCCACTTGCATTGTACATATTCCTGTTGCATTGTATATATATTGCACGGGAAGCATTCGTGATCTTTCCCTGTCCTATTCCCTCACAAATCTCTACGATCAATCATTTTTCCCATCATATTCACAACTTTGGAATAATCTCCCCTTATATGATAGAGAAACAGTTTCCCTTAAAAGTTTTAAATCGCATATAAGCTCGCGTAAGTCAAAAGTACCAGGATATTTCTCATTTGGTAATAGAAAACTCAATGTAATTCATACCCAGCTAAGATATTCAAATAGTAGATTTAATTGTGATCTATATATAGGATTGGTCTTATAGAGAACCCCGAATGTAATTATAAATGTACCTGTGAAAATTCTCATCATTACTTTATGGAATGTTCTTTGTATTCTGATATCAGACAGGAAATGTTTCAAAACATTAGCAGAATTTGTAACTTTAGAGCACCAATAAACCTAGACGTACTATTAAATGGCAGTGCAGATCTTCCGTACAGTGACAATATTCAAATTTTTAAAGCAGTTCAAAAATATATATCAAACCTCAAAAGGTTCAGAAATTGGATATGATGCTTATGATCTAAACAATTCATGTGTCCAATGTATTTCTTTATTTTAAATGTCTTATTCTCCTTTTGTATATATCTTTCTATCCCTGTACATATATATAGACTAGTTTGTTTTACTTTTGCATGTAAGCTCTGTAAATAGGAGAGGGTTTCACTAAGTTGGAATAACTTGTACCCAATCCATTCTCTTGAATAAATATGTTTGAATCAAACCTTGTACCATATAGGTAGGTGTTTGGGGTTGTTTTCTGGGGATGAAGACGTTGACTCTATTTTATGCAGTACGGCAGTGACAAGATTTCCCAATGTTAGAAGTGACTTTTACAAAGAGATTGTTCAAGAGTTTGTTACACTAGACCTTTTGTCCCCATCCAAACTGCCCGAAAGGCGAGGTTTGCGGGACTAAGTGGGTGCCACTGTATGCACAAGAGGAGAGAAGAGATACCCATTAATCTTTAGCAGTCGTACATTGTACATGTACACAACCTTTAAATGTATTTGGGGTAATTATAAAACGTTTTACAAAGAGCAAATTACCTGTTCTTGGATAAGCACAGAGGTAAATATCATCAGGCCTCATGGAAACGTCCTTCGCTTGTTCCAGGATTGATGGCACATATGCTGGACTGTAGTGGAGACCCCTAAACATCATGTATTTGATGGTCTTACCAAACTTGTCCGTTTCGATCTTGATATCCATTTCACGCTCGTCGAAAATGTGCGCTTGATCATCAATCTGAAACAGGTGAACAAGAAAACGTTTAATTCTTATTTCAAATCGCTACAAATATTCCAAAGTATGGTTGATGGAATGCCACTGCTTACTGTCCAAGTGTGAATTCAGTTGAATTTTGGGCGAATGATACTTTTACACATGCGTTTTTATAGCATGGAGTGATTGCTTGGCTGTCGGCTGCTCATGACTATGTCGTCTAACTGCAAGGCAATGTCTTCGCGCTGTGGGTAAGCTGCAAACAGTAATGGCGGAAAACTTTATGGTTAATGAAACACATTATCATCTCTGTAGAGTTATCTACAGCAATGGAGCTCCCATGTGTTGCCATGGGCTGGTTGTCCGACTTTGATGCCACATTAAGAAGACAACCATAGTCTGGCGGAACAGACAATACATACCAGACAAATAGCAAATTTGTGGCAGAGTCATATGCAACAATATCGGGCCTTGACGTCCAGCGATATATCCTATTCAGCTTCCATTTCACCGCCAGACACCCAATGCTTTATGTAGGAAGCATTGGTGGTTCGGAACACAAGGCAGGGACAGTATACGTTTCACTGTTGCTTCCATCTGGACAGCTCTGATAATCGTGAACGGGTCCTACAGTGGTCCATGAGAACGTTTGTGTAACTCAATGTCAAAATCAAAACACTGTAGCACGATAATGCTCGCCCACTTGTAGAAACCTTTAACAAGAAACAGACAAATTGTACGGCCTGTCACTAGGTCTCTGCCACAGACTGCCGGCATATAGTTGGAATATTGCTGAGAGCGGCGTTGAACAACAAACAAACAGACCAATTTTATGGCTTGTCACTCGGTCTCTCTTTTACCAGGTATGGGCTTTGTCAGTGAATTGTTTATAATTAATCAGTGAAAAATCAAATATTATGTTGGTATTTTCAATGACATAATATTTAAACTCTTCATATAAATAACAGTTACATGTTTTCTCTAGTTACAAGTCTCTATTCATGTATCATCATTCTATTTCAAAGTCAGCAATTGTCTGTTAAAGTCAGTAAAGCTGTGCTGGGATGAAGCCATTTTCTTGTTTCTGCTTTGAAATTTGCACGCATGTATTATAGACGACTTGATCTTGTGGCGACCTCCGCTGACTACTTTCTACGTGGATATCTGTCTATGCAAGCCGTGTACGAATTACCCAAGGTCTCTGTCTCCCGAACTACTGCAGTATATTTATAGAATGGCGCTCTGTGGCATCTGTTGTGCCCTTGAGTGTCCTCTTTACATCAGAATAAATACATATGAATAGGTCGTCCTATGAAGGAACGTTTGCGTTTACCTACCTTACGTTTGCGTTAACTAAAGCCATACTATTATTAGCATCGAAGTGTAAGAAAATTAATTTCATTGTAAACAGATACCAACACTTTATCTGGCAATGTACATCTATTACGCTATGAGTTTAAGAAAAAAGATTGTTATAGAATAGAACTTGTACATGACTTCTATAACTAATCATGTCAGCTTTAAATGTACTACAGGCCAGTGGGTTTATTAAATACTGAATAAAGATTGATTGAATAAAGATATGTATAGGTCGTACTATGAAAGAGAGGGATGCCATATTCTGTTTCCCTCACTATATGGTATCTAGCTGATAATCATCATTCCGTTTCAAGTCATCTGTTGTCTGTTAAAGTCAGTACTCACGGTAAAGGTGTGCTGGGATGAAGCCATTTTCTTGTTTCTGCTTTGAAATATGCAAGCATGTGATATAGACGACTTGTGGCGACCACCGCGGACTACTTTATGGATAGCTGTCTATACAAGCCGTGAACGAGTTACCCCGGGGGCTCCTTCTCGAACTATTTATAGAATGGCGTTCTATATATAGCGTTTGGTGTGCCCTCGAGTGCTCTCGTTATATCACAATAAAGATCATATATAGGTCGTCCTATGAAGGAATGTTTGCGCACAGAGATTGGGGATGCTATATTCTGTTACCCTCACTATACGTTATCTAGCTGATAATCATCATTCCATTTCAAAGTCAGCAATTGTCTGTTAAAGTCAGTACTCACGGTAAAGGTGTGTTGGGATGAAGCCATTTTCTTGTTTCTGCTTTGAAATATGCAAGCATGTGTTATAGACGACTTGATCTTGTGGCGACCACGGCGGACTACTTTATGCATGGATAGCTATCTATGCAAGCCGTGAACGAGTTACCCCGGGCCATTGTGTCTCAAACTACTGCATTATTATATATAGAATGGCGCTCTATAGCATTTGTGGTGCGGTTTTAGTGAACGTTGATGGAACGTTTGCGCTTGGAGATGGGTGATTCCATATTATGTTCTCAAGCTGATTATCAATGTTATGTTCAACTTGGTTAAATCTATCACACGCTTGATCCCTACACGTTTTGCAAGTATATATCAAGGAATATTTATTAAGTGATGTAGAGTGAATTTGAAAGTGAGCAATACTAATCAGTCATATCATTTCATTACTGTAGTGAAATTCTTCCATCTGTTCGTGACGTTATAGGTCCGTAGTTCTGTAAAATTCACTCTTCACAAAATCAAACACATAATCCTACTGTGAAACATATTTCACTGTGTTCAATTAAATGTGTATAATTTATTTATTTTGATTAATGCATGAATGAATTTTAGCATGGTGATAGTTTGTAGACCTGATGGTTATATCGCTATACGTATGGCGACGACGTTCTATGTTTCTAGCGATAGGGCAATCGGTATACGTGTAATGCTATACTACTATTCACTACTGAACTAGTGAAATAGGTGAGTGAGTTTAGTTTTACGCCGCACTCAGCAATATTCCAGCTATTCTGGCGGCGGTCTGTAAATAATCGAGTCTGGACCAGACAATCCAGTGATCAACAGCATGAGCATCGCTCAGCGCAATTGGGAACCGATGACATGTGTCAACCAAGTCAGCGAGCCTGACCACCCTATCCCGTTAGTCGCCTCTTACGACAAGCATGGGTTACTGAAGATCAATATTCTAACCCGGACCTTCACGGGTAGTGAAACTGGGTTCCCACGAGTCTTTTATACTTTATATTATCCGAGGTTGTATTTGTAATACGAACATGTACAATGTAGCTGTAAATTGTCTCCGAGTGGATCTGTGGAATTTGTATCCCGGGTCCATCTATTCTCTACTCAGCCCACATCTACTCCAGGATCAACCCACAGTCATACAATCAAAACGGAGCAACTTTTGTACTGGTTTATTGTACAAGCATATGGCATACAATTCGATTCTCCAAACCTACAGTTTTTGCATTAAGATAAATATGTCACAGGTATGTTTTCAATTCACTTGTCGATGAAATTTCATCGCGGAGCCAGGGATTGGATATACGCAAGACATGAGGTATTCTCATGTGTTTCGAGCGTATAGTTCGTAGAATCGCGAGCCGGCCATCTTTTCTTCATACACCCGATAGTAATCCTCCAACATTTGGTCTGTGAAGTAGTTCTTCCAGTCACCGACAGTACCTGTCAATTGAAAGATATATACGAATATTTAGTGTTAAGGATCTCAGTAAACGTGCATACTTTATATACACTCGCGTAACCTTGATTCATGGATATAAGGGAAGTGCAGCGAAATTAATATTTTAAATGCATGATTTCATTTTGTATACGCACTGATTATTTTATTCATTGATTCAGCAAATTGAAAATGCCTAATATTCCACTCGTGAATGAAACGTTTGTTTACGGAAGCCATTTGCAATCATCACCCATTCATGTGCCCACAAATTGTGAGGTCACCTTGTTTCGTGGATTACGTAGTCGGTTACTTTATACCACTATGTACGACATCCCACTGCAGTACGTATTGACACCAAGGAAAGCAGACAACCAGAAGTGAGAAGGTTGGAGCTAGCGGTATCTTTTTTACTTGACATTTTGTAAAAATATAATTTGGCAATGGTGGTATTAGTGATCTGGGGCTATTTATCTCAATGCTGGACAATTACGTTTGGTGTACTTGTGTATATTGCAGAGATTCGGAACTTTTTTGTTAGCGAGGCGTGGCATTGTATGTACATCAAAATTACCGCTTCGTGACGTCAGTCGAGACTTAATTTACGAGCTAGCACAATAATATCCGCGATCCACGAATCAAGGTTATCCACGAATTTAGGTTACGGTTCTGTATATATAGTATAATTAATGAAACATATAGAGATGGATGGATGGATGGATGGATGGATGGATGGATGGATGGATGGATGGATGGATGCATGCATGCATGTGTATATGTATGTATGTAGGAGTGAGATTGGCTCTGTGTGTTTTGTTCAATCTGTTTAAATATATCTAACTGTATATCTGTGATCCTGAAGTAAAATCATCCGCTTACTGGAAAAGAACTTTACAATTTGTGATTAGTTACCCGCCACCTACTTTGATGTTCTCTATTACCCAGAGTATCAGAAGGGCTGTGTTCTTCGTAGCGAACCCGGTACTCTCCCAGTGTCATATCAATTAATGCTATTCAGAGATTAAATATATGCATCTTCTGCATCCAGTCTTCTGTATTATCCAGAATGTCTCAAGGATTGTGCTCCTGTCAGTAAAACAGGTACTCATCCAGGAAAACTTTACAGGCATGAAGCAAACTGGCGTCGAGTTTGGTTAAGGAAATGGATGACCTTTTCCTCTCAAACGCAGAGCTGGAAGTGAGCCCGACGTCAAAATAAACGTTCTGCACTGAAATGCGTTCGACTTTTTCGATGGCGGAAGTTTGATGATGTGAGGGCCATATCTTACACGCAAGGGAACTGGCTTGTTTTTGTTTCAAGGATTTTTTCATCATTTGTGGGATGATGCAACGTCAACCGCATGCCACAAACACTTCACAACTAGCCAGTGCGTTGCAGGTACAATGGAGAATAATTCAACAGGAAAGTCCGTGTGACAAGGAGGTGCGAACAGAACCCAGTGGTCACGCCCAGTCGTGATCAGAACATCGTCTCCATGGACATATGCGTCGTGCGGTAGGGCAATCAGTATGACCATTAGGTCTACAAACTATCACCATGCTAAAATTCATTCAAGCATGAATCAAATTAAATAAAGTATACACATTTTAATGGACACAGTGAATATCTTTCACAGTGGGATTGTGTGTTTGATTTTGCAGGACTGCAGATCTATAACGTCATGCACAGATGGAAGAATAAATAGAATAGAATAAAAAATACATAAATGAATATACAAATAAAATATGTATATGAACAAATTAACATTGTAGTGGTTAGGATTCCGGTACACGTACAAACTAGAAATAGACTGCCACTTCCCTGGAAGAGCTATAAATAGTTGGTCCAGATTTGAGATTTGTTCTGTCCAACTGTTCATTTTATGTGACCTTCCCCACACATTAATATTTATCACTCGATTAGTTTATTATCATTATTAACCCGTCGAGAGTTACGTCCCCTATCAAGCAACGCCTATTTCCTTGTAAATGTTCTTTGCTATCTTGTATTGACCACTGTATTGTTTACAGTGCATCAGTTTCCTGCCATTCTATAAATACTTTACATAATGATAGGTCAGAAACAACATCACATAGAAGCACACTTTTCGCTTGCATTGTCCGCGAAATACAGGTCTTTAAGCGTCCTTATTATGTTATAATATACCATATAGTGTGTAAGGCTTCAAGGACCATTTTCCCATGTTCATGCTTGACATAAAACCGTATACTTTATTCATTATAGTCATTTTAGCGGCCCTTTAGATTTACCAAGCCATATACCTTTACGATACATCACGTTTTCCCCGTCAGCTTTAACGGAGAATTGGTCTTTGTCTCTTCTCATGTTGGAAAACTGGCATTTGTCAGCAATCGCTTGGCACAGTTCATCGTTTCTTGGTAGACCAAGAAAATCAGAGAGGCGTTGAACAGCCAACAGAGGATTCTATAAAAACACAGACGTAAATATATTTTGTGATACCTTTCTTTCACTTGCTCCCTCATTTCATGTTTTAGAAAATAAAAGATCCAAGGTGCTATAACGTAGAGCCACCTAAAGTAAATAGATGAATATTACTTCTGTACAGCACATGCCAACGAATAAGACTTGTGACAACTTTACATATAAGGATTCGGTTTTTCAAATCTCCGGTAGTCGCTTAAAGTGAGGTGTACATTTGTAAGCTGTAAGCATATCAGACCTTTATCATGTCATCCCGCAACAAACTGGCATGGTGTGATATAAATATAATACTGTTTCCATGTTTTGGGGAATAAGAGGTTCCGCTCACACGCTTAGGGAAAGATGCCAGGTGCCAGCAAAGTGCTAAATGTTACATGTAAGTCAAGTTAAGAGAGGCACACATGGAATGAATCACAAAAATCTTGAAGTAAAAAGTGAAGCCGAAATGAAACAATACAGCGTCGTACAGGAAAACAAATTTTACGGGCCTTCTTTCTCTCTTGTGTTCCAAAACTATTTCAGGGGTGATAGCTGGAATATCTAAAACACTTAGCATTTCCTCAAGGCCAAATGTTTATAAGTTTTATATAATGTGTAGCTAAGCAGTCAAATGTTACTGTGGTTAATGTCACCATATATTATATGGTTGTAAGGTAGGAAGTCTTATGAATTTAGGACAGCATTTTGAAACAACCGTGTATGAAACAGGAAAGATCGATTCTGGAAAGGGCAAGGGTGGATAAAAGATTCAATTAATATCTGATTGTGACAATGTAATATTATGGAACATTCTTGAAAACGTTCTAACATAGTTATGATTTTGGGTTAGAAACACACGCCTTACAAAACCAATTGATCAGGCGCGTAGCAAGCCAATTTTTTCGTGTAAGCCCGATAGGTTACGTTGCGAAGCTTTATATTTCGATAGTATTGAGGGCTTGCCCAACCGTTGTAGCAGCAATCATGTGTAAGCCCGGGCTTTATTTCATAATGGTAGCTACTCCCCTGTTGATGAATTAGGTATGACCTTGAAACACATGCATTACGAACCATTTGACTTTCTTCATAGATGTGAAAATAAACAGGAATGTCTGGATTCTCTTTGAAAAAGTCCTCAGCAGCAAGCCAGTGATCGAATAGGCCACCGGCTTCAACTGAAACCATAAGCTACTACTTCACCTTCCGTAACCTCGCCATCCGGGTAGATGTAACACTGTGACTGGAATGGGACATACGTTACGACACTGGACTGATATGACAGCAATACCAACCATGTAAACAGTGAATCTGTTCAACATCATACACGCTTTGACTTAAATACATAATGGGCGTACTTTATCCTTAATTTGACATTGTTCGTGTGACATTTTAGTCATGACGTTATGTTTCATGCAACTTTTATCAATATCAGGGTCTTCACTATTTTAGTTCACACTAATATCAATACTCTGCATACCTTTTCCTTCCAGAAACAGATACAAGAAACCCTCAAAAGAGCACTGGCATTCAGAAACCTTCAGATCGATATAGGCGTGATACATAGACACAGCCACGTCTCTCGGATCTCTAAGATTGTAGATCATCTTGCACTTCTTTTCCTTCACCTCCCAGGGTGCATCGGGCAACCGGAAGTGGGTATTTATAACCCTTGGGGAAGGTAGCTTACTCAAACTCTCGTTCGTCACAAGCTCTAATTGCAGCTTCCCCTTGAATTGCTGAATGGTTTCAGCCTTGCCTGCCAAGAGCATGTTCGCCATTTCGTAGACCCAGTGAGTTCCTGGGAATAGATTATGGTATAACAAAGGAATAATAGTGTAGCCCTGTCCAAAGGTTATCTGAAGTGAGACGTTAAGAACTAGTTTTAGTCACGATATGGCTGAAATATTACCTATGTGACTTTAATTTTAACTCACTCACTCACTCACTGAAGTGAGACAAGGACGCTTCATATAGGCTGTCATACGCAGACATTTTGGTCAACGAGGAGCTCCTGGAATGAGCTCAGCACTGAATCTTGGACATACTTATCAGACAGACACATTATACCATGAAAACCTGTAATAAGGTTATTATGTTAAATACTAGTATGGATTGTGGCTGCTTGGGGTATAGAAAAACGCTGCATGTGGACTGCAACAAGCAGACATTCTCATCATTATGTAATAGTGATATTGGAAGAAAATGGTTTGTGGCATATTCAATTACATGGCAATCTTTAACAGTCGAGATCGAGGACTAGGTTTTACAAACATTATATGAATACTTATTTTATCAAAAGTGAACTCTCTTACATTTTTAATCAGTGATTTTACATAATAAGGCAATGTGCTCCAAAGGCTGACTTTTTCTGCTTTTAAATGACAATGTAATGAATATATGTTTTTGAAATAAAACTCATTCCGAGTATGTACTTACAATGTTTATTAATGCAACCTTGTTCTCGTCACTATATGGCTGGAACAATGCCGATGTGACGCAAAACCCAACTCAACTCAACTCAAACTCAAAGGCAAGTGTACGTTATGACACGGAGACGGTAAACTTTTATACAGTACGACAGCAAGTTTTCCCAACCGTAATATCAATGTAAACTTATAACGGTTTTACAAAGAGCAAATTACCTGTTCTTGGATAAGCAGGGAAGTAAATGTCATCAGGCCTCATGGAAACATTTTTTATTTGTTCGAGGACTGACGACGCATATGCTGGTAGGTAGTGGCGGCCTCTAAACATCGTGAATTTGATGGTCTTGCCAAACTTGTCCGATTCAATCTTGATATCCATTTTACTCTCGTCGACTTTGTGCACTTCGTCTTCAATCTGAGTGAGTGAGAGGGATTAGTTTTACGCCGCTTTTAACAATACTACAGAAATATCACGGCGGAGGACACCAGATATTAAAATCAAAACTCACCATTGGTAAAAGATCAATGTTGTAGATCATTTTGGTGCAAGTGCAGGGACGTCAAATCACGTTGTAGCATGATAGTGCACGCCCGCGTGTAGTCTGTCTCACAGTCCCTGAACCACATTATTTTCCCTACTGCCAAGCCCTCTCTGCAGTGCTAAAGCCCTAAATAAAGCAAGTCTAGCCTAGGGCTCCTTTTCAATATAAATGGGCTTGTTTGTTCCTATCAAAATTATATATATTCAGAGACTAAGCCTTAGTCTAGCCCGCGTGTTGCAACACGTTTTAAACAACAAACAGACAAATGTTTGGCTTGTCACTCGGTCTCTCCTTTACCAGGTATGGGCTTTAGTTGGTGCATTGTTATGATTAATCAGTCGAATTTCAATAAAATAATATTTAAACACTTCAGATAAATGAAATAACTTGTTTTCAATAGTTTCAATTCAAGTCAGGAATTGTCTGTTATAGGCATTACTCACGGTAAGGATGTGCTGGGACGAAGCCATTTTCTTGTTTCTGCTTTAAAATATGCACGCATATATTACCGACGTCTTGATCTTGTGGCGACCGCCGCGGACTATTGTATAGAATCTGCCAATGCAAGATGTGTACGAGCTACCCTGACCTGGATCATTGTGTCACAAGCAACTGCAGTATATTTAAAGAATGCAGCACAGTCGCAATGTGTATGCCCTTGAGAGTGCGTGTTATATCAGAAAAAAAATACATTTGGGTCGTGATATGAAATAAAGTTTGCGCTTGGACACGTTCAAACCTAGGCCATTGCGATTGCAGGATAGATGTGGTTTAACAACTGAACATCTCTGTCCAACAAAGTGTGGTGATATGTGTTGCGAAGTTGTAATATCTTAGATTGCGTCTGTAGTTCCATAGGTCAGGGATGTAATAGTCTGTTTTCCCCACTATCGATGTTATATAGGCCAAATATGGCATACTCTTGATTCCTACGGGTTCTCTCATGTGTATATCGAGATATATGCAACCCGTGATGAATAGTAAATGTGATTGTGAGCGAGTTATTCATATCGTTCCATTACTGAGGGAAAATTCTTCTATCCATGCCTTACTTTATTGGTATGCAATTCTACAAAATACATTCCTGAAACAAATTTAGCACATGAGCCTACTTTAACAAGATCATTTACAGTGTTCAATTAAATGTGTATATTTTCTAATTGATTCATACAAGGGTGAAGCATGGTGATAGTCTGTGACCCTAATGGCAATACTGATAGTCCTACGGCTAGACGTCTATGAGAGCTTCTAACTTCTTTGAGAGGCGATGTTCTGATCACTACCTGGTGTAACCACCGGGCTCTGTCCACACCTCCTTGGGACACAGACTGGATTAGGATAAGAATGGATAAGGGTGATAGACAATTCTAAACCTATATGTATCTATGATCTTAGGATTAATAACTTTCTTATGGAATGGAATAAACCATCAAAGGGATCTCGGAAGATATATGATATACTTGTGCAAAACAAATATCTCCCTATTATCTGTAGTAAATGGCAACAAATGTTCTTAACTGACTTAAAGAGATATTAAGCTACAAGATTTCCAATATAGATTTTTTGCATCGCATTATATAAACTAAAAAGGAATTATTTAAATGAAGTTGATCGACAGTAGTATTTGTCAAAGATTTTATAATGAAAATGAATCGATTGTCCATGTATATTTTGAATGTCAACAGGTTGGTCATTTTTGGTACAATCTGGAACAGTTTTTGAGACAACATCTGTGTTATTAGATTCAGCTTAATCTTAAATCCATCCTATTTGGTATCCAGGGGACCGCAAACTTCAAACTGGTGAACCACATTCTTTTGGCTGGAAAAAGATATACTTCTTATTTATATATATATAAGCTGTATTAGAAATGAATCTCTGTCTTTCAAATCTTTTATTGCTACCTTAAAAGATATTTTTCAAGTTGAGAGATATGACGCCAGAATGAAAAACCAACTAAATTAATGTATGAGCAAATGGCTACCACTACTTACAATATGGACCGATGTGTCATGACTCTTCCACATGCTTAAAGTATAACTGTGAGGTAGTAAGTTACAATTGTGCCTATTCACGGACGGGAAAAGATATTCATATTTATATACATAAGCTGTATTAGAAATTAAATTTTGTCCTTAAAATCCTTCATCGCTTTTTTTTTGAAAGATATGTTGCCAGAATGAAAAACCAACCGGACGAATGTGGAACAAACGGGCACCCTTACTTTCAACATGGTCTGATGTGTCGTGACTCGTCAATGGGTACAATGTATGATCTTTGTGCAGTAATATTTGAATGCACCTACTCATGGTTGAAGACTTACCTAATTGCTCAAGCCTAGATGATTCGTAATTATACAACCTTGATTGTATGATGTTTGTATAAAATGATTGTACCTATCACTGTACCTGTGTACGATTTTTGTATAAAATGAATGTACCTACTGATGTGAATACAAACATGTGGAAAATAAAGTATTGTAGATATAGGGCCAGATGCACAGGAGGCTTCTTCTTTAGAAAGGGCATCTTATCTTTTGTGCATCTCTCCAGGACATGTCCACGACACAAAATGACTATATTAACCAAATTTACTAACGTTAGGAAATATACGTTTCATCCGGCGTCCATATGAACAAACGTTTGAAATCTACGTATCATCAGATTTACACACGTTTAAAGGGGTATTAAAATATATGAACACTCCACTCTGTATTTACATGTATTTCACAGCCATTGTGTTCATGTGTTTTCTAGCATGTGTAACATGTGTAAATGCTGTGATTGTAGGACATGCATTGTAATACCTTTGAAATATCGTATGACCAGGGTTAGGTTTGTCATATATTTAGTACACACGTAACTGGTTGGTAATGGGTAAATATAGTGCTACAAGATTAACACTACTTCAACATGTATTTCAATGGTTCTGTAATGTAACTGTCACATCGGGTTCGTTAGCGCGACGGACCACGCCATAATGCACGGAGATCATTAGAAACACATGGTGAAGTGATACCCATGACTGACCACCACTATTAACGTGCCTGCCTTTCTTGACACAAAATGATGTCTATTTGAAAGGTTCAAATATTGGGTCTATGGGCCAGAGCGATATGTATGTTAGGGAGTGTGTGCACGTGTGTGTATGTGTGTGAGAGGGAGAGGGTGTGGGATAGGGTAGGCATAGGGTGGGGTGGTGGCGGTGGGGTACTGATAAGCCTTTCTGATCAGTATGTAATATCGTTTGTAATTTTTGCACTGGAAATTGCATTATAGTTTAAATAACTGACCTTAGGTACACTTCTTATATATGACATACAAGGAGAGACTGCTTATTGCAATAAAACAGCGACAGGTGTGTTCACACAGACATGAACCGGTAGGTCCTTAATTTTAGTGCACACTTGTATGAGTTATCATACTCGTGATCATAGCTATCTATACTATCTATAAAAAGATGATTACAATGTATTACTGATTCCCGTTGTAAATTACTGTAGCAGTTGTAAATGTGTTAATATGCACAGACTTGGTATTAGAGCTGTGTTTCGTAGCCTAAGTGGGGAGACGATATATCCTGATACCAGTTTATAATCATAGTGGCAATACTTCAGCCATATCGTGACTTAAAATAGTTATAAATTCATTAAAACATGTTACATTTACACACACACTTAAAGGGGCGCGGTGGGCGAACTGGCTAAAGCGCCAGGCTAGTGATCCAGCGAGCTTGAGGTGACGGGATCGAGCCCATCTGTGACCGGGTGTTAACACCTTGGAGTCAACTTTGGGTGCAGACTCTTTAGAGCTGTTGATCTAATAAAATTTCAGCATTTCATGTTGAAGAAGGTTCAGTCAAACATGTTCTGCACGCCTCAAAATAAATTTGAAACTGAAGTTTCCTTTGGAAAGTTGTGTTTCTACACCAGTTCTTTCACAAACAATTCAATGTAATGTATATCAGAATTCAGAATCACTGAACAAAACTCCTAAGTCTGCTGTCTAAATTGTATCTTATCTTTGTTCTCTTTCTTATCAAACATAAGACATCATTCATAGTTGTGAATACATGGTGTTATTTGTCAAACAACTAAAACATATTTCAATTACTTGAAGATAAGTATTGTACAGTTCACAGAGTTTGAAACATGTTCACACTCTTTCACTTCTGCACCAACTCATTTGTTCATGTAACAGATACAAACAAATTCCCATAAGGCTCAATTCAGTTTTAAATTTCAGAAGGATTTCAAAGAGATTCCCTTCCTATTCCTAATGCAATACCCTTTACAACTTTAAGTAGTACTTCAGTAGTATCGGGATATATCGTCTCATGTGGCGATACATCGATGTATCATGGACCCCCGCGATATAAATATCCTGATGTATTGCCTTAATGTGTTTTGTATTGATGCATTCGTATCGCATAGCTGACTTTGCAAACATCGATACTATCGATGAATCGTTACACCACTACTAGGGATGGCCTCTTTTTGATTCGGAATACAGATATTGTCCCATACGGACGTTTTCTCAAATTTCAGTTACCCGACGATATATACTGTACACCTATTTTGATTCCATCTCTGGGGTAGATTGTAGAAAGCAGTTTCTGTAATTATTGAAAGCTTACTATCTGACATCATTTATGTTGCTCGTGCGTTTTTAATTTTTGCTTTTTGCTGTCTAATTTGTTATACATTATATAATAATGTTAATCATTTTCGCATCCCAATATCATGGGATATAATGTAAACTTATTAACCTATCAAAGTACCGAAACGTATTATCTATATGCTGTACTGTTATTGGGTGATACTGTTAAATGCACCTCCGTACAAAATTTCCAGAAAACAATAGAAACTGAAAATTGCTAAATAAATTGAAAACTAAACTGGGTAAATATTGCAAACAGTTATTATTTACATACCTGTTTTAAGTTATCAGTGTGCAGATCATGTCACAAACATAAAAACTGAAGGATGGGTGTGGAAAGAGTGGGGGGAAACACGTGCAAAGTCTCTGAGTCAACTGAGATTATCCTTCAAAACATCATATATATGTACATTTAACAATCACTTATCATTTAAGTGCAACCAAAGCATTACAAAAACGCTATATTTCTAGACAGCATAACATCACCTTTGGCCGGAGTTGCAAATATTTGATACCGAAAGCCTTGTTAGTTAACTCAAAGGATATAACCCTTGTGTTTTACAATGATCTTAATTATAGTGACAATGAAGTATAGGTTGCCATGTGTTTTCCAATATGATTAATTCAGTGAAATGCTAATGTTTACCAAACAAATTCTAAAGGAGCCTTTCTTCAAGCAGTGACTTAAAGCCATACATAGCTAGACTTACTTAGATTATAGACGTCATATAAGGCATCATAGATATTTCACAAACATGGTACAGGACCCTTAGCCTCATTAGCGTATTGCCTCACCACTTGCGAATTAAGCGTTGGCAGATGTAAATGTTACTGAAGATGTTGGTCTCCGCCAGCCATGGGTGTTCGGTATGTTTACTCTGTAACCCGA